TTGTTCAAGCCCATTGAAGGGACAATGCAGTTCCACGTCCAGTGAATCCTATATTGCATAATATAGTGTTATATCATAGGTGTGCTAGTGCTGATATGTGACCCATAAAGTTTGTCTACTTTAGAAGTTATCTCCTCTTCTTTTAGCTTCCTGCAGGCTCTAGGAGGCTAACAGAGAATGAGATACAAAATTCTAAATAAAACATACTGTGCAATAAAGGAAGTTTGAACATTCGATCTCTTTTTTTCAGGTTTTTAGGAAGGCTATGTAAGTCACAGGTAAGGAGGTGTGACTAGGAATGCATGAACAAAGCGAATTAAAGCCTAAATGATCTACACCCCAAAATCACAACTCCATATAACCTAAAGCTACTTTGGTGCTTCAAGTGTCCCTTTAAGTTTGCACATTGATTAAATATGTGGAATTTTCTGATTCATAAATGTGAAAAAAAGATGAATGAAAAAAGAACAGAGAAAAAAAGACCCAGAATAAATATTAAATACCAAATTAAAAAGTGCTACCATCTTATCTAGCCCCACTGCCTTGGCATTATAGTTTCATTTTTATAATAAATTTCCTTTTAGAACAGATTGGAGACCCCAGACCATACTACCCATATGCCTCCCTGCTGTTCTTTTATCCTGGGGAAATAAAAACTAATATATTTCATTGGACACTATGGTACACTCTATGAATCTAAGCTCTGAGTGTTGGTTTATTTCCACAGTGTATTGGAATAAGACATTTTAAAGTATTGAATAGATTTATTGCTTGGTGTATTTTACGTGGTATTTGTGGATGGTGTAAATGTGAATGCACTCCGATTTTAAAATGTCCACTAATCAATTGCACTAAAATTAATCTATAGATTTAGAAGAAAACAGAACACTGATTGATCAAGAAAACATCTGTTTTTAATTTTTTTTTTTTTTTAAATATGGATATTAGTAATGTTACAGGTAGGCAGTTATTTTCTAATATCTAGAGGTGTGTAATATTTTGTGCTATTATTCATTGATAAGTTTAAAGAGGAACTGTCAAACCCCAAGGCAAGGCAATATGCATTTTTGAGGTTTGGAAAATAATATTAAATGCAAAAATTCACACTATTGTTTTTACCCCTATCCCAGAAGAAAGCACCACTATCTTGGCACCCTGTCAATCATGAGCATAAGCTCTGTCCTTTGCGCCTGTCAGTCAGAGGAGCTGAAAAAGGAAAAGGGAGTGTTTTTGTTCTCCTCATTTGCATTGTGTGCCTTGACTGTGCCTTGACTGAACATGATTGTGATGTCAAATGCTAAATCTTTATTTTAAAAAATTATTTAAAAAAAAAAAAGAAAAAAAATCACATATAAAAGATTAGTGATAGGTGATTTTCAGTGTTGTATTAAATGGTGTGATTTACAGATATAGGATATTTACAAATAAATGTTTATAGCGTCATTTCAAAATACATGCTTAATTTGAATTGACTTGAAAGGAATGAATTTAGTTTAATTTCCAGATACATTACCAGTTTCCCTTTAATTTCTAGCTCTTCTAAGTTTAAGGTATAATATGATACTTGAATTTTGCTTGATTTCTAGTAATTTATACATATTAAATATGTGATAAGATCTGAATGACTTTGACGAGGACCAAATAGTGATGGCTACATGACTGGGTCAGAGGATCTCCAAACTGGTTAGTTTCTACCAAAAGTGGTGCAAGGAAGGACAACTGGTGAACCATGCTCAGGGTTCAGTGCATTTTGGATCTGTGCTGCCCTAGGCGTGACGGAACTCGGGCACCCCCTAATTTAAATTTATCCTTCCCCTTACTGTCAAGACCAAACCTCTTGTTGTTAAAGGACTAACACACACTTTGACTGACAGACACACACCGACACACCCACTCACTGACAGTCACACACTCTCAGATACACTGACAAACACACACACTCACTGATTTGACACAATCTGGCAGACACACACAATCACTTACTCACAGACACACTGACAGACACACACACTCATTTGCAGACACACACACTCACTTACTCACAGACACGCGGACAGACACACACACGGACAGATACACTCACTGATATGCACGCACACACTCACTGACATACACACATAATCACTCAGACATACACACTCACTCCCACACACACCCACATTTATTGACAGACACACACTTACTCACTAACAGACACACACTGACAGACATACACACATTCACTGACAGACACACACATTCACTCACAGACACACACAGTCACTCAGACACACACACATTCACTGACAGACACACACGCTCATTCCCAGACACACACTGACATACACACACTCACTCACAAACATACACTGACAGACATACACACATTCACTGACAGACACACACACACACACTCACTCATTCACTCACAGACACACGCTCACTCACAGACACACTGTCACAGTCTGACAAGACACACACTCACTCATTCATCCACAGACACACACTGACAGACATACACACATTCACTGACAGACACACACATTCACTCACAGACACACACAGTCACTCAGACACACACACATTCACTGACAGACACACACGCTCATTCCCAGACACACACTGACACACACACTCACTCACAAACATACACTGACAGACATACACACATTCACTGACAGACACACACTCACTCATTCACAGACACACGCTCACTCACAGACACACTGTCACAGTCTGACAAGACACACACTCACTCATTCATCCACAGACACACAGCTATACACACACATTCACTGACAGACACACACATTCACTCACAGACACACACAGTCACTCAGACACACACACATTCACTGACAGACACACACGCTCATTCCCAGACACACACTGACACACACACTCACTCACAAACATACACTGACAGACATACACACATTCACTGACAGACACACACTCACTCATTCACAGACACACGCTCACTCACAGACACACTGTCACAGTCTGACAAGACACACACTCACTCATTCATCCACAGACACACAGACAGCTATACACACACATTCACTGACAGACACACACACTTACTGACACAAAACACAGACTGACAGACAAAGAGTTCAAGGTGTTACTTAGAGCATCTGCTGCTAATGTCTTAGTGCCAAATACCAAGGGACATGTTCAAAGCAGTGGCAGAACTACCACCGGTGTGGCTACACCTGGCCCTGCAGGCTTCTCGGGCAGCACAAAGGGAACCTACATTATTGGGCAGGTGGTTTTAATGTTGTGGCGGATCAGTGTATTTATAACAACCATTTATTGACTGTATATGTAATCACCTCTGTTGCTATGTTGCTATGATACATCTAAATAAGCGCAGGTGCGACCAGATGACTTTAGAAGTAATGTAAATAGTTGAAAGCAGACCACCTGTGCAAGCAATTAAAGTATCGCATAAATACACCCAGGGGACAGCTCACAGCCTTTGGCCTTAGGGGCCTTTTTGTTGTTTATGACTCACGGATCTCTGTGTGGATGGTCTTTCTCATGTGGCACATGTCATATACAGATTTAACAGATGGAAACTGCTGGCGATGTGAGGTGTGATACTTCACAACCTCCATCAGTCTGCCCTACGCAGCATGCTGGAACATTGGCAGAGCTCTGCGCAGAGAGAGAGAGAGAGAGAGAGACTTTGTATCACAGTACTCTGTTACTGCACGTCATATCCAACACCTGCTGTGAATGTCAGAGTACTGTCTCACACATTGTAAACTGCAGGCACATATTCCCAGACATACGCTGCCACACACACAATTGCACAATAACATACACACTCAACCGCACATCCCAACACACTCAGATACACATTGCCACACAAACAGGTGCACAAGTCCACACACTCAGATACACACTGCTACACACTCGGAACCACACACACTGACACATACATTGACACACACACTGACACAAATAGGCAAAATCCATATTTTTGCCCCCCTCCTGTTTGCATGCCTTTGATTACATTAGAGAGGTAGCCAGACCTGGGATCCAGTGTTAAGGGATATTGAGGGTTGTCAGATCCCTTCATGAGGATTGAGTGTGAAATAACTTCCTACCAGAGCTGCGCTACTGCGTAAGTGAGCACCCAGGCTTTTCCGATCTAATCTGTCAATGGGGCTGATATGACTTCTAGATGTTGTCTGGTTTGGGTTTTTAGCTCATAGCATCCAGAGCAAGTACAAGTGTCAGCATGGGTAATTGGTGAAATTACAGACACCTGAAGAGTGTACCATCTGCCTAAGGAAATAGATCCGATGGTCTGATACTGTTTTACTTAACCTGAACTCGAAATATTGGCAAAGAAATGATCCAGGATGTCACGTCGAACATCAAGGCTAACCATGTGTCCAAATATATAAATACACACCAGTGCCTATAAATATTCAAACACTAAACATAGCGTAATACAGCTTAAAGCTTGAAGTAAAAGGGAAAGGGTAACTATTGCACTCCCAAACGGACAATTGATAGTAGACCTTTAAAAAATCATTAGGTGTATTCTTCTCTCTTCTTGGGTCTCAATTAAAGGACCACTATAGTGCCAGGAAAACATACTCGTTTTCCTGACACTATAGTGCCCTGAGGGTCCCACTCCCGCCGAGCTGGATGGCAAGGAAAGGGGTTAAACTTACCTTTTTTCCAGCGCCGGGCGGGGAGCTCTCCTCCTCTCCGCCTCCGATCCTCCACTTCGGCTGAATGCGCATGCGCGGCAGGAGCTGCATGCGCATTCAGCCAGTGTCATAGGAAAGCATTCATAATGCTTTCCTATGGACGCTGGCGTCTTCTCACTGTGATTTTTACAATGAGAAGCACACAAACACCTCTAGCGGCTGTCAATGAGACAGCCACTAGAGGCTTTAGAGGCTGGATTAACCCATTTATAAACATAGCAGTTTCTCTGCTGAGCTTCCGGTGAGTGGCATTGGCTGAAGGAACTGACAGCATGACAGGAGCTTCCCCCCAGTCATACCTAACTCTTTGAACTGCCAATCTATGTTATCTTACTGCCTTTATGACTTACTCCCTTATATGTCTCACGTACAACTCGACCGCACTTAGACACAGAGCACAGCATGCCTGACTACACTCTAGGACCACACACACTGCACCAGTTGTAGTCATACATCATTACTACCACCGACCCACCACAACGACACAACGGCTTTGGCACCCCAATCAACACACATAGCTGTAAGACATTGTGACACTGTGTACCTCTCCCAGCCACATGAAACGGCTATTAAGCGACATATCCCTCTTCAATAACACAGTCAGTTGACAAACCTAATGACTGCACTAATCTACACACTGACTATCAACACTATTTTGTTCATCGTCGTTTACTAAAACTATAAAAATGTGCATTGTATATCATGCCTTAACACTGTCTTAATATGTCACTCGGAACGCTGACAGTTGTTGTTGGGGCACTGTGAGCAATTGTACCGTATTACCTTTGCACCAAAAATAAAGAATTAAAAAAAAAAAAAATGCACTGCAAAAATAAAGATTTATTTTAAAAAAAAATTCTATTCTTTTTTTTTATTTCACTACAATTCACTATAGAGAAGAAACGTGTGCATTTTTGGACAGTCGCGTTTTGTTTCCTGCCATAGCTTAGACATTTTAATTCTTTGGTCTATGCCTGGCAATTTCCCAATTTAGTTGGCAATCCTGTATATTGAGAATAGTTAATGTTCATGCAGAATGAATACTGCGGAGGGGGCGTGTCTTGGCCACCATCTTAGATGGCCACGTTATAGAGAGGCTCCTGGACAAGGGGGACAATTTTGTTCCTAAAGTGACAATTTTAATCTGAATGTACCAATTTTAATTGAAAATACAAAAAGTCAACTTAGCACTGATCATGCAGAAGCAAAAGAAAACAGAAAAATCCGTTCCTGGGACGAAGAAAATGGAAGCAGGAGCGGCTGGGGTGAGTAAGGGTTCCCAGGCTCGCTCCCCTGCTTCCAAACCCGCCTCGCGGCTTGTTTCGCCGCTTAAACTTTCGTTGGTGGCGTCGGGGAAATCCCTCCCTACCTCCCTCCCGGTCTCCCGCCCGGTCTCCCTCCCCAAAACCTATGCTTGTGCGGCCGCGACCCGTCCGCAGCTTCCTGAGGGCGGCGGGACCGCGACCGCACTAGCCGGCACTCCTGTGTGCGGCTCAGAGTGCTCCGAGCACTCGGCATGCTCGGAGCACAGTGCTGTGTCTCCCGCGAGCGGCAAGGACCTCCCTGCAAGCCGCTCGCGGTCTCACTCCAGGGCAGCCCGGTCGCTCACTTACAAAAGCGACCGGGTTGCAAGTAAAGGGGAGGGCAGCGTGAGGTCACGCTCCCCGTCGGGATCCTCAGCCTCCAGGCTGTCGGTCCCGGCGGGGGGGGCCTCTGCTGTCCGACCCAAAGTATTTAAAGGGGCAGCAAGGGCTACAGTAAGCCCAGATGAAAATCTTATGGAAATAGGGGCTGAAGTGCTCCAAAAAAGTGCCTTCTCTGCACTACCACAGAGAACACGTTATGTTGCCACAACAAAGATGGCTGACAGTCCAGATACTGTATTTTCCACTTCCAAGATGGCCGCTGCCACCTCCAATATGGCTACTACCACATTTAAAGCTGCGACCTATAATCCTAATATGCCACTTGAATTGGCAGCAGACCTGCCACCGTCAGCTGGCATGATAATTCAACTTATTAAAGATTTGAGAGTTGATTTGAAAAATGACTTTAAAAATGACTTTGACACATTATATGGAGCCATGGAGGGCATTAATCAGCGTACAGAAATAATAGAGAATAAATTGCATTCTCAAGAGCAATCTCATCTGGATTTGGTTGAAACCGTAAAAGAGCTCCAAAAGCAAGTGCACCAACAAGCAGAAAAGCTTGCCGACGCTGAAGATAGAAGTAGGCGTAATAACCTAAGGATCAGGGGGATCCCTGATAACATCGACTCCCAGGAATTACAAAGCTATTTCCAGACAATGGTGAAGTCAGCTCTTCCAAACGCAAAAAATACGGATTTATTACTGGATCGCATCCACAGATTGCCCAAACCCGGCAATGCTCCTCCAGCTGCACCCAAAGACGTGATAGTGAGATTCCACTACTATCACATTAAAGAAGAATTTCTAGGTGCAGTACGCACGTCAGGTCTCACAGGAGATTACAGCAGCATGAAGGTCTTTCAAGACTTTTCTGCTCAAACAATGAAGCGACGCAGGGAATTTCAACTTTTCACTGCGGAGCTAAGAAGAAGAGGGATAAGATATAGATGGGGATTCCCGGTTAAAGTCCTTTTCCGCATGGATGGTCGGAATTTTATAGTCACTTTGCCTGAAGAAGGAATGGAACTCATCAATACTATGAATGGACGTCGGGTTTCGCCTCATAGACTCTCGCCATCTACTCCTGTTCAGGCCAGCAAGAGAAGCAAATCAGACACTTCCTGAGATCCCAGCTCAAAGAGACATAGTCTTCCTTTTCTATGGTCATCATTGAGTCCTGCTCCAGTCCGGCGATTTATCGGGATTACTTTGAATTTTGATCTGTTTCTCCTTTTTATGACAGACTTCTGAGTTCTTCCACTAACGGTTATTTGTCCTGTGCCTTTTTCGGTTTATTTTAGAAACTGATCCTTCTATTTAAAACTTTCTATACTTATACAATCAAAATATTTTTTTATTTTTTTTATATATAATTTCATATTTATTTAATTTTATTATTTTTTTATTTTATTTTATATATTTTTTTTTTTTAATTGTTCTGTGCTTTTTACCCTTTCAATTGTCATATTTAAAAAGTTGCTTTTTGTTTTTTTACTACCTACATTAGCTCCCCCTGCACCCAGTAGCCTTCTCTCCCCCCAACCTGGGCCTAACACCCTGAGATGGAGAAACTTTTTTTGTTCTCCCTCATGGCCCTCTTTCACTGTTTTTGTTTCACCCCTGATAGGGGTATATATCCAAGTTTTTTGTTCCCCTTTTTAATTTTTTTATATTTTTTGTCCATTCATCATTTAAAGTTCAGTAGAAATGTTTTTAGACCACGAAACACTGCAATGCTTCATACAAAAATGCATAATACGTGGCATCAGCAAATTGTAATCATCTGTTTACTCATTATTCCTGTACACACAAGCACACAGCTTGAGTTTGCTTTAATAGCTTTGTTGGACTTGCATGTTTCTCTCTTGGAAGGTGGTGGCTGGGACTCTCACAAGATTGAATGTTCCTTTACCCTTTATCAGTTATTACTGTTCTATAAACCATGGTCTTAAAATATATGTCATTTAACGTGAGAGGCCTGAACACCGCCCACAAGAGACGATTATTATTCAAAGAAGCAAAATCCAACGAATCAGATGTGATTTGTGTACAGGAAACACATTTTAAAGATGATAAAGACCATAAAATCATGTCAAAGCTTTTCCCAGTTCAATACCATTGCACTTATAAATCCAAGTCTAGAGGTACTTCGATTTTTTTTCACAGGAATGTAGCATGCTTGACAAACAAAGTTATAACGGACGATGACGGGAGGTATTTAATATGGATAGGATCACTCAATACTATTGAATATACTATTGTGAACATGTATTTTCCAAACACCGGTCAGTTGCAGTTTTTTAGGAAATTGATGGACTCAGTGAATGAGAATGTGAGAGGCAACTTGGTAATGTGTGGTGACACGAATTTTGTGATGGATGGAGAGTTGGATAACGCTAGGGAAGACCGTGATCGACAGCTTAGAGGGGACAGTGACAGATTAGCGTATAAATGCTCCAGATATATGATTGAATGTGGCTTATACGTTCCTTGGAGACTGTTGCATGAGAATGAAAGAGATTTTACGTATTATTCTGTCTCTAAAAATATGTATTCCAGGCTGGACCGGTTTATGGTCCAGGGTGCTTTAATTCCTCACATCTTGAAATCTGATATCTTAAACATTAACTGGTCCGACCATGCTCCAATCATAATGCATATTGACGAAATTGTTTCATCAGCCCCTAACAGAACTTGGAAATTAGGTGATTATTTGTTAAATGATGTTGTGAACAAGTCACTGACGGAGAAAGCTTTGTGTGATTATTTTTCGGAGAATGCCTCGCCCGAGGTTCCTGGCGAGGTGACTTGGAATGCGCATAAGGCTGTGTTAAGAGGTCATTTTATTTCTAGAGCGTCTTACTTGAAGAGAATTAATAGCAATAATTTAAGAACATTGGAAAAAGAACTGTATAATTTGAACCAAGCTAATAAATTTGGTCCATCGTCCTCCCTATCAGCAATGATAGGAGAAATTAAGGCTAAAATCAACAAAATTAATTTAGATCGTGCATCTCTTATGGTGAGACGTCTCAGGAAAACATTTTACTTAAAAGGTAACAGGGCCTCAACTCTTTTGGCATCCAAACTCCGGCATGTGAATGCCCAATCAAAAATAGCATATTTAATTGATGATCAGGGGCAAAAAGTGTTTCATCCAACTAAATTAGTGATATGTTCGCAGAGTATTATAGTAAACTTTATAATTTAGAATGTAATTTGGACCTCCCCCAGCCTTCTACAACAATAATTGATAAATTCTTAGACAGAGTGTCATTGCCTCGGCTGTCTCCAGTACATTTAGAAAGCTTAGAATGTGAAATATCAGCAGCAGAGATAGCTGAGGCAATTAAACTTATGCCATCTGGAAAAGCCCCTGGTCCCGACGGATTAACTATTTTATATTATAAAACTTTTCCAGAAATTTTAATTCCCCATATGACTAAATTGTTCAATTCCTATAAGTCAGAGGGAAAGATGCCAGAGGAGTCCTTGTGCGCACGAATAGTCACTTTGCCAAAGCCGGGAAAAACTCCCGATAGATGCCCTAACTTCAGGCCCATTTCTCTGATTAATAATGATTCAAAGATTTATTCTAAGGTTCTCGCTAATAGATTAACCAAACTAATCCCATTGTTAATTAATAAAGATCAAGTAGGTTTTGTGCAGAATAGACAGGCGCCAGACGGAACTAGAAGATTTATAAACTTGATTCAGCACATCAATATGACCAAAACGCCTTCTTTGCTTCTATCTCTAGACGCAGAAAAAGCGTTTGACAGGATACATTGGGGATATTTATGGAGAACATTAGATAGGTTCAACATACCATCATCATTTATCACAGCAATTAAGGCGTTATATTGCGCACCCTCCGCTCATGTCTCAGCTTCTGGCTTCACATCCAAAACTTTTTCTCTAACCAACGGGACGAGACAGGGGTGCCCTTTATCTCCAATTTTTTTGTTTTAGCGATA